TCAAGACTGCCTATTTATGACTGATGAGACTGTACAGAGAGAGCGATGTGTTACGGTATCTCAGAGAAGTTGAGGTAGAGGTCGTAGAAGAAATCAGTCTGAGTCATCCACTCAACATGATATGTATCCAACTGTTGGGATTTATAATTTAAGGACAGATGAAGATTTCGAGGATCCAGAGATTATCGCAGGTAAATTTCTATAAGGTGACAAAATTAGTTTTGGATTTAATAGTATGGGAGTCAACATAGTTATATGCTAGTGGCAATTAGAAGGAGAATTGAAAGATTTGATTTGAAGCGATAACAAATGGACTGTTAGAGATTAATTAGTAGATCAGGGTTTTTAGTGAGTAAGTTGTGTTGAAATGTATATGGTAAGAGAAATTATTCTGAGATATATGACCATGGTTGGCTAGTAATAAGAAAAGTATAAAGTAAGACTTTTTACAAGTAATGGTAACTATCAAGGTTATATGTATTGAGTTTTGTATAAGGATTGTATATGAGTATAAGGTGAATTAGTTCATCTTGTAATCAATTGAAAATCGAGGATGAGTTTTCTTAAAGGGGAGATTTGTAACATCCCAAAGACCAGGTTGGTGACTAAAATGAAAGTTTTTAAAATTTGGTGATCAATTTTGGAAAAATAGAAAAGTTCAGGGATTTAAAGTGAAATATCTGATTATTGGATTAAATAGTAATTATGGAAGGAGTGAAGGGCATTATGGTAATTTTAGCTTGAAATATATTTTATCTCCTTTAATAGGAGATAAACACGTGAAATTGGGGGATTTATCCATAACCTTTCTTTTTACTTTCTTCTTCTTCTTCTCGTTTGCTCCAGCTCCAAGGTGAGTTTAATTTTAGATGTTTAATTCTTGGATTTTTAAGTTGGTTTTTATTCTTTGGGTATTATATAAGCTTAAGGAAAACATATATAAGTTTAAAACATCAAGAAAAGAGAATTAAAAAGGGATTATAATAACAGTGTAGAAATCAATTATTGGTATGAAGAGGTTTTTGAAGTTTTATTGATAAATTTGACATGTCATAAGAAGGATTAGGAAGTCTAAAATAGTAGAAAATAATTTAGAACACATGAAAAGTTTGGAAAAATTCTTAAATTCAAGAGTTATAGTAAGTTATTGAAGATGATAAGGTGTTATAGTGTTTAAAGATGGGTTAAGTATCTATAGTTGAGTTTAAAAGCATAAAGAGAGTTAGATAAGTAGAGTTTGGGTAAAGTGTTGGAAATTTTTAGGCTAAGAAGCATTTTCTGGGTGAGTAGTATCGGTACCTGTTAAGTGAGTACCGATACTACAAGGTAAAACATATGAAATTTTAGCATAGGGTATCGATACTGCATGAACATATCGATACCATAAGGAAATAGTGGGATAAATCTTCATGAAGTATCGGTACTGAAGTGATAGTATCGATACTATGAGTATCGATACCAGTGGGAGGGTATTGATACTAGGAAATATCGAAGCTAATATTGGTATCGATACCGAAGTGGGGTATCAGTACCCCAGCATAGAAGTATCAATACTGTGCTGGTAGTACTGATACTACTTAAGTTGGAAAGTTGAAATTGGAGTTTTATTTAGTTTGCATTGATATAAATCTTATCCAGTAATTCGAATCTCGATATTCATTAAATTGTGTATACGTGTAGATATCGATCTAAAGCAAAGTTCGTATAGACCATCATAGTAACAATTTCGAGAGGGAAACAATAAATTAGTATTGACAAGTGAGCCAAGGTGAGTATATCATATTAAGTGTAAGATGTGATGTGGATTTAAGACTTGCGATGAGTCTAATTCTGATAGTAGATTACAGAAGGATACAAGCATGTAGAACATATGAATGTAAGTGTATTTATATTATAAGTTATTGCATAAGTTTCATGATATGCTATGTATGTTAAATGAGTTATGTGAAGGTTTGTTGGTATGATAACTTATGTTAAATGATGAAATTGAATTATGTGATTGTGTGAGAAATGATATGAACTATATGAGAACATGCATATGATTATGAGCTATGTGATAAGACATTATGTGATTAAATGATCAAGAGATATAAGCCATGTGATATGTGAATCATATGGAAAAGATCTATGTGTAAGTGAACTACGTGACTATGTGAATGTGTGATAATATAAATAATAATGTCCATGTTATGTGTTATGAGAGCTAGGGGTATAGTTGGCATGCCAAGAGTCGAGGGTTTTACGTGGTCTTTCGGGACATATATGTAATCCTTTGGAATATATATGCGGTACTTCGGTACACTTATTTGGTCAATTAGAATATGTATATAGTTCTTAAGGAGTGGTCCTTCGGGACATATGTGATATGTGGTCCTTTGGGACATAGTGGTCCTTCGGGACAAATCCTACGCGCCCCTAGTGGGAATTATACGAGATGTAGTGACAACATATGTGCACAACCTCTATATACTCACATACCTTAAGTTCTCATAAGTATACATGGGCTTTAAAGAGAATAAATAAAAAAAATTGTTATGATGCTATGTGTGCTCTAGTGTGAAATGATCTATGTGTTTTATGATGTCCATAGAAATGATAAGTACATGTTTATATGATCAAAGGAATTAATGATAATAATATAATTAATGGTTAGCATGCTAATGATGATCTATGTGTGTATATATGCATGGTGTTGCCTAATATGTACATGCATTTGTTAAGTACTTATAGTTCTATTAATCATTTATATGTCTCACTAAGTCTGTGACTTAGCGTGTGAGTGTTTCACATGTAGGATCTGAGAAGCTCCAAAGAGAAGATAGGCAATGGAGACATCATAACTCCAACAAAGATCATATCAGAAAAATTTATAGTAGGTTTCCCTTTTGTATTATATAGTGTTGACATGTATTTAAAGTAGTAAATTATATAAGCTCTGAACTGTTTGTAAAAGTTTTAGAGTTATTATATGTAAATTATTTTATATTTTTAAACTTACATCTGAATTTTCCTCTTGTATGTATAAAAATGATTTGAAAAGGTTGATGTGACATCTCAGACTCGTATTTGGGTCGGATACGAGTTGGGGTGTTACAACATCTATGGCTCATATTTTTAGATGTTTATGGGCTTTGGGTGTTACAAGTTTAATAACAAATCAATTCATTTATAAGTTGATTCAGTTACAGATTAGGTTTATAACATGTCAGTTTGATAACAGATCTGGTAATATTAGTTATTTGTCGGGTTATTCTAGGGTTTTGGTTCATATCAGGTCGGATGCAGGTCGGGTTCGGTTAGGAGCGTTCAGCATAATTTTTGAGGAATAAGTTTCGCCACCAGAATTAGTAAGGATATTCTGTTTGTTAAATTATTTATTAGTGAAATGTATATTAAATAAGTTTCTAGTTGTTTTGAATCGAATCTATTAAGATGTTTTTGTTTAAGTTATGAAGGTTTATTTTTACAAAGGACATTATTAATTATGAATAATAGTTTATTAAATCGTAATTATTTATGATTGAAACGATTTTCAAATCAGATAGTTTTCTGGTAGTTTTGATTTATGATATGTTATAGTACATAACTGTATAAATTCTATCTGAATCGGATTTAATTTTGACATTTAAATATTAAATTATGATTTTATGTGATTATTAGTTTTAAAATAAAGAAATGAATTTTTAAATTTTAAAGAAACAATTTTTTACTGGCTCAAGCTAATCGACCTAAACCATTCAAATTTTTAAACTTTTGGACTCTTCATCCTAATTTCTTAAATAAAGTTCGACAGTCATGGAAGCCACCTACTAAGGAAATCTGACGAAGGTTCTTTTCCTCAAGCTTAAACGTCTAAAACCATGCCTCAAGACCATAAACAAAGAATGTTACAGTGATATTTCTGCTCGAGTACTTCAAAAGAAAAACAAACTTGAACAACTTCAAATATCTACTCTACGAGGAGAACACACTATTGAAAAAGAGTTGATGTTACAGAATGAGATTTTATCCCTTAAAGAAGCAGAGGGCATGTACTTAAAAGAAAATGCCAAAGTGAAATGGTTAAAAGAAGGCAATAAATGCACAAAATTCTTCCATTCTATTATTTCAGGTAAAAACAAAAGAGACACCATCTGAATTCTTGTTAATGACCAAGGTAAAAGGCTTGAATCTTTTGATGAAATGGCTTCCGAAGTGACTGAATTTTACTCAAGCCTTTTTGGTACGGCGGACTCCGGGGTTAAAAATTGTGCGCCTAATATTTTGAAGGATATGATGCAATTTACTTTGCATTTAGATGTTTCTTCTAACCTTGTAAACGAAGTAACCTATGAAGAGATCCAATAAGAAATTTTCAACCAAGGAAATGACAAAGCACCTGATCTTGATGGATTCACACCATTATTTTTCAAAAAAACCCTGTTCAGTGGTTGGAAAAGACGTAGTAAATGCTATTCAATACTTCTTTCAAGAGACTTTCATCCTTCCTACTTTTAATGCTACAACCATTGCTTTGATTCCTAAAGTTTCGAATCCCAATACGGTTAGAGATTTTCGGCCAATTTCCTGTTGCTCTATTATCTACAAGACAATTACAAAGATCTTAGTCAAAAGATTGACTACCCTACTTCCAAGGATAATATCTCTCAACCAATCGGCTTTTGTAAAAGGAAGAAATATTGTTGACAACACCCTCCTTCCTCAAGAACTGGTGAGAGGTTATGGAAGGAAAGTTATCTCTCCTAGATGTGCCTTGAAAGTTGACTTACAAAAGGCTTTTGACACCCTACATTGGGGTTTCATTTCTGCTATGAGGCTTTACAGTTTCCTAATACTTTCATTGGTTGGATTAAAACCAGCTTTAAAGAAGCAAGATACTCTGTCTCTTTTAATGGAAGCTTGATTGGTTTCTTCAAGGGTCAAGGGGAATAAAACAATGTGACCCTCTTTCTCCTATCTTATTTACTCTTGTAATGAATTTGCTCTATAGAATCCTAAACATGGCTGCTACTAAAGGCTTGTTTGAATACCATCCAAAATGTAAGAAGGTTGGCCTCACTCACATTTCTTTTACAAATGACCTACTTATCTTCTATAAAGGAAATATTGAATCTGTTTCTGGAGTCATTAGTGTCCTGGACCAATTCTACAAAATGTCTGGTCTTAAACTTAATGCTTCCAAATGTGAACTTTATACTGTTGAAATTTCTTTCAGAAACCTTGAGCATATTTTACAATCCACAGGATTCAAACATGGTTTTTTGCCAGTGAGATACTTAGGGGTTTCTTTAGTCACAAGGAAACTGACTGAAAAAAGACTATGTGGTTCTTATTGAAAATATCAAATCCAATCTACATCACTGGTCAGGAAAGCACTTGAGCTACGCTGGTAGATTAGAACTTATCTGAGATGTTCTCTTCAGTATTACAAACTTCTGGTGCAGGTAGTTAATTCTGCTTCAGGTTATTGTTAACAAGATTGAACAACTTTGCTCTATATTTTTCTGGAAAGGTACTGATAAAGCCGCCACTGAAGCCAAAGTCAGTTGGCAAAAAATCTGCCTAGCGAAATCTGAAGGAGGACTCGGATTAAAAGATATTAAAACATGGAACAAAGCATGTATGATACAACTCATCAGGAACATCCTCGCGGGAGAGGGATCATTGTGGGTAGCTTGGATCAAAAGCTATGTTGTTAAAGATGCAAACTTTCTGTTAGTGGATGATATAGCAAATTTTAGCTGGTGTATCAGGAGCTTACTTAAACTAAGGGAAGTTATAATCCCTGTTTTATCTACAGGAGCTACGAAGACAAAAGATTTCTGGAAAGAACTACGGGTAAAATGAGATAAAGTCTCATGGCACAAATTGATATGGTTTCCTCTACACGTCCCCAAACATAGCATGATAACATGTATGGCACTTCTAGATAGACTCCCAACTAGGGAGAGGCTTCAAAGAATGGGAATCGTTACTGATGGTTCCTGCATAATCTGCAATGAAGCTACGGAGAATAGGGACCACCTATTTAGCGAATGCTCTCTGGTAGTTTCCTTATGGAAGGCTATTCTGAATCTCTCTAGTTTAAGAACCCCTACTTTACCTTGGGTGAGTATGATAGACTGGGCCAGTGGTGCTTGGAAAGGTAAGTCCCTCCTCACTACTATCTTGAAACTTGCTTGGTGCACTTTAATATATTCCCTATGGGAGGAAAAAAAATAGAAGATTGTACCGAGGTAGCACAAGAAGTGAGAAAGAAATTCTGAATTCAATTAAGAAGATTGTATGTATCCAATTAAGATGAAGGAATATAAATAGATTAGATAGTCTCAATACTTACCTTTGAAATAGTTGGGGTTTAGACCATTAAATTTTATTGTAAGTAGGTTGTTCATTAACCCATTTATGGGATTTTCTATGTAGCAGAATTCTGCGACTTGGGTAATAAAATTAAAATTATGCAAAAAATGTTTCATATGACTGATGTGATCTTTGACTTGTATACATGTACATATATAGATAGAGTGTTACAGGAAATCCCAAACAATTAAATTTTAAACTACATTTTTCACAACACTTTTAAAAGTTTATTTCTACTATACTTTTAAAAAAACAATTTTCAAAAGTTTTACCAAATTGGCCCTCAATCAATTCGAGTCGAGTAAAAAATTAACTTATTTGAGTTGGCGAGTCTTATTTTATAGGGTTGTGTTGAGTTAATCAATCGATGAAATAGCCAAGAGGCGGGTTGAATTGGCAATTAAAATTTTGGTGGAAGCTTTCGCAGAAAATAGAAAATATTTGCAAAGCGATTTAGAGTGGTTCGACTTTTTCAACCAAAGTCTACGTCCACTACCTTAGCTATCCACACTAAGGTTTTTCCAACAAATTCACTAATTTGTTCTTTCTTTTGAGGACAAAGAGTAACCTTACAACTCCCTCAAGAATTATACCCCAAATTCTTGAGAACACACTCTCTCAAAGAGAAATACACAGATTTGCAAACTTACAGAAAAACCTCACAAGGTAAGATGTTTGCACAATTCTAGAACAAAGAAAGAACACTAAAAAATGAATACAATTGAGCACAATTAGTGTTCTTGAAAGAAAACTGAATATTGAATGAAAATTTAGCTTGAAATGCTCAAACTTGAGGTTTAATGCTTTCTCTTTGATTATTTAGCTTATCTTCTTAATTGTTGTTGATCAATGGCTTCTAAGCTTGTTTAAATACTCCTTGAATCACTTCTGAATGTTGGGGATCATTGGTGAAGTCAATAGAACCGTTATTGTGTGAAAACAATTAAATAAAATAGTTGGGAGTGTGTGTGCATCAGTACACCATCAGGGTGCATCGGTACACTATGTGTAAAATTCAAATATTTCGACCGTTATAAGACTTAGTGCATCGGTACACTAGGGGTGCATCTGTACACTAATTGCATTCGATGTTTCAAAAAAAACCAGGAGTGCATCGATGCATGGTCTGTGCATCGATACACAAAATGCATTCGATGTTTCAATGAATTCAAGAGTGCATCGATGCATGGTTGTGCATCGGTACACAAAATGCATTCCAAATAGGGTGTGCATCGATGCATCATGAAGTGCATCGAGTGCATCGATGCATCATGAAGTGCATCGGTGCATCCCTTCATAAAATTGATTTTTGGCTCGATTAAGGTTCGAAATACTTTGTAAAAATTGTTTCAAAAATATTTTAAGTTTAAAACACAATTTTACACTATAGTAAAGATTTAAATTGACCTTAGAAAAACGTGGAGTAATATTTTGATATTCGATTAATTTAATCGAATACATTTTGAAAAAGATTGTAAAATCTTAAAATTCATTTATACTTAATTTGTTATATCGAAACATCAAAATATTTTCAACAATCTCCCCCCTTTTTTATATAACAAAATATTTGAGTAATTTAAGATGTTCTTTCAAAAAATCATTTTTGAAATCAATTTTGTCAATTTTGAAAATTACTCCCCCTTACTATATTCTCCCCCTTTTTGTTAAATCAAAAAGACTCTATAAAATGTTTTGTTCAAAACAAGACTTTGAAGATTTAGTCAATTGATTTTAAATAAATATAGCTTAAGATGCTAAGATCACAATCAAGAGAAAGGTTACCATTAGTTTCATAAATCAATATTCATAGATAATGTGTATGGTAAATTGGTCATATGTATAATGATGCAAAAATGAATAAACCAATATAAATTCAACCAAACCAAATATATAAATATAAGTATTTAAGTTCAAACATCAAAACATACGTAACAAATATAAACATCCAAAATAAAAAATCCAAAAACATCCAAAATGTTTTAACAATGAGTCCTAAGTTCGATCCAAGAAAACTAAAGCAAGGCAAGGTCTAGTCATCCAAAGGAGGATCGAGAGGAGGAGGATAATGTGCTCACATCTCGAGTGTAAGCACATCTAAACGTTCTCGCATCTCCCATTGAAATTCCAATTGTTGGGCCCCATAGCAGTTAGATGGGACTCTATGGATGCAAACCTTAGATCAAATGACTCCACAAATGATCGAAAGTATGGAGGCATTTGTTCCTCTTGCTGTGTCGACTCATCCTTGGGTACGTGATCGTCGATATCGTCGATATCTTGCATAATTTGTTAAAGCTCAGGATCATCTTCATCTGTCGGTGCCGGAGGAGCTCGTGAAGAGCTAGCTCCCGGTGTTTTCTCAGAGGTTCGAACCCATTGATCACCTTCCTTTTTCCAACCCAATTTCTTTAAGGATATGAGATTTATTTGGTTCTGGAGAGGGATAGGATTATCAAGTGAGACCTTAAGCCCGATTTTGATAAACAGATTAGAAAGAAGACAATCGTAAACTAAAGTTTCTATATTTTTGGATGGGACAACGTTTGCGGTATCTACTAGCTCACCAAAAATAATCTGTGGAAAATTTATTTTCTTGTTATGTTGGATACAATATATCCACTATAAATCTATGACCCTAAGAGAGGAGTACCCTACCTCCGGATGGTCTAAACTGCCAAGAGATCATCAAGTGAATGAATCGCTCGTGATGAGTTCTTAAGGTACTTACACTATCCTTAGCTTTATAGGTTGTAGCCACAATATCTCTTTCATTATCAAGACCCATATTATCTAAACCAAAGGCATTAGCTATTGTGTCCGAGTCAATATAAATGAATTCACCTAAGAGATATGATCAAATTCCTACAGTTTCGGTTTGACGTTTGTTTTGGACACATACCACATTGGAGTAGAAAATGCAGACTAATTAGTGATAAACAATGGGTTGAATTTGACACATTTTATCAAACTTCTAGGAACAGAGGATAGGAAGATATTTGAAGTTCATATCGACCATTGCTTGAATAGAGGGAATACGTTCTTCCCAGATTTAGTATGATTGGAAAGAATTAACGAACCTATGATAGAGTTCTTCTCGACGACGACCAGGTTGGTTGAAGCAAGAATTAAGAATGGTCATTTCAGGTTCGTTTGAGTTTGGATTTTAAGGTGGAGGATGAATGGGAGGTCGGTTTTGACTCGAATGACTAGAGGATGACCTAGGGCATTTATGATTAGACATGGTTCAAGAAATCAGAATAGGATAGATAACCAACAAATTTAAAATACATGTATGTAATATAATCGATCCCAAAACTCAATATGAGTCTGCAATAGTCAAGGTTCTCTAAACCGAATTTGAAAACTATTTGGAAAACAATGTTTGAAAATCATAATATGTATAGTTTTCGTGAAAACAACATAATTGAATCAAAAACATCAATTAAAACAATAATTTTCGAAAATAATAATTTTTTTTATTTCAAATTTTTTGAACATTTTTGAAAAATCTTGTGTTTTTGATGAAATTAGTTGTAGAATCTAGTTTATAAACATTATATAATCAATTCCTGATACTTAGTTCAACCTAGAACTAATCAAAACTAATCCTAAGTTCAAAAATCAATAAAAGAGAGGTTTTTGAAATATTACCTTGAAAATTCGGATTTTGTGAGAATGTGATGTTGTTTGCACGAATTTAATGAATGTAGCAGGTTTAGGAGTTAAAAATTGAGTGGATTCAGACTTGAAATCATTGATTTGAAGCAATAGAGAGATTTGGAGAGGAGAGGGGCGTACGACGACAAGAGGTGTTTTAGTTTGGGTTTTGAGAAAATAAGAAATTTTAGGGATTTAAGCCTAAAACCCGACGGGTGTATCGATGCATAGTAGGGTGCATCGATGCACATTCAAGGAATGCATCGGTGCACCTTCATGGTGTATCGATGCACATTCATGGGATGCATCGGTACACTCTCTAGTGTACCGATGCATGTTGCACAAAAATGTTAAAATCCGTTTTAAACACTTAAAATGCTAAATTAATTAGCTCTAGAGGTTTTGGCAACTCATAGAATGAAAATTAACTATGTTCAATCAATCAAATATATCCTTAAACATTATTTGAACATACAATTAATTTTCACTATGGATCATAAACTCCCCCTAACTAATAGCAAAGAATGCAATCAAAAGTGTTATTTTTATAAGCATTTTTCAATTCTAATTTAAAAGTGCTACAATTATTTTAAACACTAAGTCAAGGTAGGTTGGTCAAACCTAATTCTCTCCTAAGTTTCCAAAATCTTTCTTTATCTAAAGGTTTTGTAAAAATATTTGCTAATTTATGCAAAGTATCAACAAATTCTAGAACTACATCTTTTTTAGAGACATAATCTCTAATGAAATGATGTCTAATTTCAATGTGCTTAGTTCTAGAGTGTTGGATGGGAATTTTAGTGAGACAAATAGCACTAGTATTGTCACAC